TGTTACCCAGGCTGGAGTGCAATGGCGCGATCTCGGCTCACCGCAACCTCCGCCTCCTGGGTTCAGGCAATTCTCCTGCCTCAGCCTCCTGAGTAGCTGGGATTACAGGCACGCGCCACCATGCCCAGCTAATGTTTTGTATTTTTAGTAGAGACGGGGTTTCACCATGTTGACCAGGATGGTCTCGATCTCTTGACCTCGTGATCCACCTGCCTCGGCCTCCCAAAGTGCTGGGATGAGTTGCGTTGTTTTAAAGCCAGATCTGCTCAGGGTGTATGTCTCACATATTGCTGTTGTGTCTCTGTCGTTGATTTCAATCCAAGGCGGTCATTTCTCCCCCACTTTTTTCTGGATGGTCACAGGGCTTTTCCCGTGCATACTCTCCCACTGAGCCAGGCGCAGACCCGGCCTGGGCTGGTTACCTCCTCGTCCCACCCAGCCCACCCAATTGCTTTGCTTCTGGCCAGTGGTTAACACATTCCCTCATACCCAGCACACGGGGGGAAAGTGAGCCCAGGGTCCAAACAGGTGCCAGCGCTGGCACTGGGGCACAGCCAGGTGACGCTCCTGGCTGGGCAGGGCAGGAGCTCTGCTTGGCAGAGAATCGATGGGCAGTGGCGGCTCCTGACGCAGCCTCAGAGGTCCTGGGACTTGGGCCATGACCCCGACAGCTAGCCAGGCAGACTTGGACCCCGTGATACCGTGAGATGTCTATTTGGTATTTCAAGACTGAATATATATTTTACCATGTAACAAATAAAAATATATTTGGTCTCAAAATAAATATTTGGTCCCATTTTCTGATGCACACTCCTAAAATCTTTGGAATCTCCAAAGTAATAAATGTGTATTTCTTTGCAAATGAGTTGATGGGTGACTGGCAGCCCCCAGGTAGCTGCACCCCCATCTTCCAGGAGTGGGGAGGGGCTGAAGGTTAAGTTGATCACCAGTGGCCAATGATTTCATCAATCATGCCTGTGTAAAGAGGCCCCCAGAAAAACTCAAAAGGACAGGGTTTGGGGAGCTTCTGGGCAGCGCAGCATGTAGAAGGTCCTGGAGGGCGGTGCCAGGAGAGACAGTGGAAGTTTGCCCCCACCCCCACTTTGCCTTATGCATCTCCTCATCTGTATCCTACATAATATCCTTAAAAAAAAAAAAAAAAAGGAGTCTTGCTCTTGTCGCCCAGGCTGGAGTGCAGTGGCACAATCTCAGCTCACTGCAACATCCGCCTCCCAGGTTCAAGCGATTCTCCTGCCTCAGCCTCCCAAGTAGCTGGGATTACAGGCACGCGCCACCACCCTCGGCTAATTTTTGTATTTTTAGGAGAGACGGGGTTTCACCATGTTGGTCAGGCTGGTCTCGAACTCCTGAACTTGTGATCTGCCCACCAACATGGTGAAACCCCGTCTCTCCTAAAAATACCAAAAAATTAGCTGAGTATGGTGATGGACACCTGTAATCCCAGCTACTTGGGAAAGGCAGGAGAATTGCTTGAACCCGGAAGGCAGAGGTTGCAGTAAGCCAAGACTGTTTCAGTGCACTCTGGCCTGGGCAACAAGAATGAAACTCTATATCAAAAAAAAAAAAAAAAAAAAAAAAAAAGAGGCTGGGCGTGGTGGCTCACACCTGTAATCCCAGCACTTTGGGAGGCCAAGGCGGGTAGATCGTGAGGTCAAGAGATCGAGACCATCCTGGCCAACATGGTGAAACCCCGTCTTTAATAAAAAATACAAAAATTAGCTGTGCATGGTGGTGCGTGCCTGTAATCCCAGCTACTCGGGAGGCTGAGACAGGAGAATCACTTGAACCGGGGAGGTAGAGGTTGCAGTGAGCCGAGATTGCGCCACTGCACTACAGCCCAGCGGCAGAGTGAGACTCTGTCTCAAAAAAAAGCAAAGGAAATAAGAATGTACACCTCATAAGCAGGCAGCTCAGCGAGTGTACGCAGAGTGAAGCACCACGTAAGCAGCGTGCAGATCAAGGGCGCGTGAGCTGCCTGGCCTCAGCCTCCTTTAAGCCCCGCACCTGCTTCCAGACGCATCTGCTGCCAAGAGTGACCCCCTGCTGACTCTCATCTCCATGGCTTAGTCTCTCCTGGTTTTGAATTTAATAGAAATGAGGCAGACAGTGTGTGTGCTGCTATGGCACCCTCCTCTCACTCCAGGTAAGGCCTGTGAATTTCATCCATCGCGTTGCCCGAGGCGGTACTTCTGGCTGCCATGGTTTTCCATCTTGTGAACGGCACTGATGATTGGCATTTGGGCAGTGTCCTTGGGCTGTGAGGAACAGCACTGATGTGAGCCTCCTTGGAGTCTTGCTCTATCGCCAGGCTGGAGTGCAGCAGTTCGATCTCAGCTCACTGCCACCTCCACCTCCCGGGTTCAAGCGATTCTCAAGCCTCAGCCTCCAGAGTAGCTGAAATTACAAGTACACCACCACACCCAGCTAGGGTTTGTATTTTTCGTAGAGACGGGCGTTTCACCATGTTGGTCATGATGGTCCCGATCTCCTGACCTTGTGATCCGCCCGCCTTGGCCTCCCAAAGTGCTGGGATTACAGGCGCACGCCACCACACCCAGCATCTTTTTTCTTTTTTTTACCCCGTAGAGTTAACCCCAAAGAATGTACTGGTTTTGGGGGAGGGCATACTGCTCAGGAGGGGAATTGCCGGGTCGGGAGTTATGCAGTGGGTTCCGCACTCAGTTTTCCAAACTGTTGGCGGTGCATGAGCAGGCTTCAGAGTTAGCTGTAACTGTCTCCTAGCCTGTTCCCTCCCACACCTCAGCCCCAGGTCCCACCAACTTTCACACCCCCTCCCTCAGAAGCCTAAAGACCACGGTGCTGGGGGGAGTGTGAAGCCAGGGCACAGAGGGCTCTGAGTCCACCAGGGGTCGGGGAGGGCCCAGCGGGGCTGCCTGAACAGCAAACCTCCCTGAACACCTGCTGAAGCCGTGAGGGGCTCCCATGTTTGAACGTGCTGGTGGGGAGGATGTGGTGGGAGGCACTTCTGGGTTCCTGCCGCAGACGGGGGGCTGAGACCACGGG